GAATATGTAGTTTGCGCTTCAATGGGATGTATTGGCATAATCTTCATCTTTTGATCTAGCTTTTAGGTTGAGTTAGACTCAAGGTCAATTCAATATGGTATAAGACGTCCAGACCAATATGAAAGAGGTCTTGTAATTGAATTTCATCAATCATCACCATCCACTATCAAAAAGGAATTTCTACATATTTGGTCCATGAAAAATATCTAGCCCACACACAGTGGCGGAGCCAGGAATTCCATAAAAGGGTGTCCAGTAATAGGACAATAAATTCGAACACACGAACACTTCCTCATTCCAAGGAGGTGAAACCACTGGACTATAATAGCTTGTTATGTTAAGGGTATCCAAAATATGTTATTTAATCATTTCGTATATCATTTTGTTTGTATATACGATATTTTTTTCCTACGAAGGGTGTCCAGTTGGACACCCTTCCCACCATGTGGCTACGCCACTGCCCGCACACAAGAGGACGTGTTGAAAAATATAGTTAAGCAAACAAAAGTGTATTACCTCTACTAGTTTAAACTTTTAGATCACACTCTTTAACATTGGGCTAAAAATAAGAAATACGGGATATAATATAAAATATGTTTGGTTTTATCTATAGATAAACTTTCATGCGTTTTATTTCCTTTTTAATTGACCGTGGCTTTATTAATAAGCTTTGGGATAAAAGCTTCGGAGAAGGGATATTTGTCATATTTTATTTCAAGATTAGTAATTTCAAAAATTACAATATGATTGTCGTATAAATAATCTCAAAACTATTTATTTTATTATAAAGTTCAATCAAATTAGTATTTGCTACTTACATCTTTTATAAATATATTTGTTTCGAGATAAAGAAAAGCCTTTGGATGATTGATGATCTTTAGCAGCAGTACTGCTAGATTAGATGATAATTTTTTATTTCAGGCAAATCACTTGTAATTCTAAATAAATAAAAAATGAGTGCCTTTTTTTGTGGTCCATTCCTTTTCAATGGAAGAGCTTACCCCTATTACCGACTTTATTCTTGAATTTCTCTTCTAGTAGTATTTTTTTTTTCCATGTTGAGAATATAATTAACTAATAAAAGTGTGTTTTTTTTTGTTTTTAGATGAGATGATCACACACTTCAACATTTCTTGATGCTAGTAAAGTTTCAAGTTTATTAGAAAAATCTTAATAGCTTAATTGATTGGATATCTGAATATTTATTTATTGGTAATAATTCGATTTCTCGATAATCCTCTACTCAATTTCCTTTTCCCTATGCCAAATTTTTATTTTTATTTTAAAAAAAAAAAAATCCTTATCTAGAGCAAAAATCATTTCACTTAGATAAAGCTCCTAACCTTTGTAAATCGATATTTCTATCGCATCGATAGGACAATTGACACAGGCCTACATCATCAATATATTGTATACTGTTTCAATAAAGGATTAGAGAGCAAGTTTTAAGAATATTTTGTTGTTATTTCGAGGAGGAAAAAGAAAGAGGAGATGTAAAATCAAGGATGAAGTTAGTATTATGAGAAGTACGAGTTTCGTAAAATTTAATAATTTGGGTCTAAATCTTGTATATTTATTGAAAATTCACTAAACATGTACCTGCATTAAACAATTAAACATTAGAAGTCATAAACTTTTAATTTTGATTCCACCTATGTATAATTTTATCCTCAATTTTATCATACGATTATTCAGTTTATCCTAAAAGTAGTAAAGAAGTTGTTGGTGCTAGGGGTGTACATGGCCGGGTTGGTTCGGATTATTCAAATATCAAACCAAACCATTTGTGTCGGATTTTTAAATTCATAAACCAAACCAAACCAATAAAACTCGGGTTTTTCGGTTTTTCGGGTTGTTTCGGGTTTTTCCGGTAAAGTATTCATACAAACATATAATTTACTCGTACTTCAAATATTTCTTTAGTCCTACCAAAATACAACTATCTAAGATGTTTCTTAAAAATATAACACAATATGATATGATTAATGACACTAAAATATCCAACAAAAATAATAATAATAATGAAATCGCGTAAAACAAATATTACAAATTAACAAGTCATAATGAAAATGATCATAATTTAAAAGTACTAAATCATGCTAAAAT